CCACAAACAAACAAAAAGACAAAGAAGAAAATTTATTAAGTGGAGGCATCATCGCCACACAGGACAGATGGGGCTAATATAAATATTAATTATCCCTCAAATAATCTCTAATTTGAATACAGTTCAATTAAAGATTATAGCAGCTGGGCAGTGGTGGCACACTTCTTTAATCCCAGCACTTGGGAAGCAGAAGCAGGAGGATCTCATGAGTTCAAGGCCAGCCTGGTCTACAAAGCAAGTTCCAGGACAGCTAGAGTTGTTATATAGAAACCCTGTCACAAAAACTGAAAAAGAAAGAAAGAAAGAAAGAAAGAAAGAAAGAAAAAAAAGAAAAGAAAAGAAAAAATGTAGCTACGTTTAAAAAATACACTTACTATATTCACTATAAAATCCATACAGACAAATGTGAGAACCTGATATGCCAGATATTAAGGCACAGGTCAAAACCATAGCCATAAAAGACATGTATTCAATGCTTATATATATATGTTTACATCTGACAAATATGTCAGGATGACAAGTCAGAGTTTAGGAATATATACCTTACCTCAAGGGGGAAATAATGAAGTTAGTAGAGATTGCAGAGAAAACTATATAGCTATCTGGACAAAAAAATAAAATAAAACATACTGTCCACCTAGCAGAATATTTTTAAATGGACTCCCTAAAGATCTAAACATGAGACAATTATAAAGTTAGTTGAGGAAAATATTCTAAAAAAAAAAAAAAAAAAAACTCCAGCCAGGTGTGGTGACCCATGTCTATAGTCTTGGGAGATGGGGCTGAATGACAGCAAGATCAAGGCTAGCCTGTGCTACTAAGGGAAATCCCATCTTTAAAACTGTGCCCAAACTGACAGACAACTGAAGCACAGCTGCTAACAACTTCATCCACATCTGAAGAGCACTGTCTTCATTAAGGATATTTATCAAGACAGACTATTTGGCCCATAAAAACAAGTTTCAATAATTTTGAAGAATTCAACTTAAAGTTTATTTTCCAGTCACAATGAGATAACACTGTGAGTAAAAAAGCAGGCGAGTGGGCTGGAGAGATGGCTCAGAGGTTAAGAGCATTGGCTTCTGGCTGCTCTTCCAGAGGTCCTGAGTTCAATTCCCAGCACCCACATGGTGACTCACAGCCATCTGTAATGAGATCTGGTGCCCTCTTCTGGTGAGTAGGCAGACATGCAGACAGGACACTACATATAACAAACAAATCTAAAAAAAAAAAAGGAAGCAAGTATATCTTGAAAACTTCCAGATATTTAGAAAATATAAACCACATTACTTAATAACCTATGGTCTCAGCTGGTGAGTTTCTAGGTGTTTACAGGAGCAACATGAAAGTCTATCTCGTCCCAACACTTCCACAGCTCCCTGCCCATTCAGCCTCCTTCCTTTTAGCCCCTTTCCAGAATATTTGGTTTGTATGTAGTTTCTCAGTTAATACATAGCTAAAAGCTCTTATTTTTCTTATGTTTCAACTGCTTTAGGCCTATTTCAATGTAAGGGTGAAAATTCATTTGATACTTGTGTGTATTTAAAGACCCAGTTGCTCTCTGGAGCTTGTGCGTTCAAGAATGATTAATTTGTGAAATACACTGATTACTACAGTCCAAAAAAAAAAAGTCTCTCCTGCAAAAACTGGAACCTAATGTCAGTAGCTCAATCGCCCCAACATAGAAGCAACCAAGCATGAAGCAACGGATAGGCATGCAGGGTTCTCTCTACACTGGGATGCAGCGTGGCAGTAAAACCTGGGAGCTGATAGAAGCGGTACACCATGGTTCAATCTCAAAATTATTACAATTGGTAAAACCCCATATGAAAAGCACATACCAAATAACTCTAGAAGATCTATTAAAAAATCTAGAATATTTCTAGAATTCTAAAACTTAAAAACTAGCAAATTTGGGCTGGTTATATGGCTCAGCGGATGGAGGTGCCTGTCATCAAACCTGAGTTCCACACCAGGAAGTCACGTGGCGGAAGGATAGACCCGACTCCTCAAGGCTGTCCTCTGACTGCTGCCTAGGTGTCAGGGTACAAATGTCTCCCAACCCAATACATAAATACATAGAAGGAGCCCGGCAGTGGTGGCGCACGCCTTTAATCCCAGCACTCGGGAGGCAGAGGCAGGCAGAGCTCTGTGAGTTCGAGGCCAGCCTGGTCTACAAAAGCTAGTTCCAGGACAGGCTCCAAAGCCACAGAGAAACACTGTCTCAAAAAACCCAAAATAAATAAATAAATCTAAAAAAAAAAAACCTTTAAAATATACAGGAATAGAGAAGAGGGGAGGGAAGTGGATTAGATAATAGATAGATTTAAGAATTACATGGTAGGGAGAAAAAGACAAAAAGAAAAACATTTTAATGTATTCAGAACACTACCCTTTTTTTCTTTCCCTTTTTCTTTTTTTTTATGTTTTTCAAGACAGGGTTTCTCTGTGGTTTTGGAGCCTGTCCTGGAACTAGCTCTTGTAGACCAGGCTGGCCTCGAACTCACAGAGATCCGCCTGCCTCTGCCTCCCCAGTGCTGGGATTAAAGGCGTGCGCCACCACCGCCTGGTGTNAGCCATCATGTGGGTGCTGGGAATTGAACTCAGAACCTTTGGAAGAGCAGCCAGTGCTCTTAACCTCTGAGTCATCTCTCCAGCCCCCCCTTTTTTTTCATTTTGGTTTTTGTTTGTTTGTTTGTTTTTGGTTTTTCGAGACAGGGTTTCTCTGTGGCTTTGGAGCCTGTCCTGGAACTAGCTCTGTAGACCAGGCTGGCCTCGAACTCACAGAGATCCGCCTGCCTCTGCCTCCCCAGTGCTGGGATTAAAGGCGCGCACCACCACCATCTGGCTTCAATACCTATTTTTAAGGGTTATTGATGAAGGGAGTAAATTCTCTATGGTATGAAAATCAGCATCAGCAGATGCTTCTGGCCAGTTCCCTGACGATGAGTTATTAATAAGCATGGCGTCTCCCAATACTGCTGAAATGACGGACACTTTCAGTATTTTTGGACAAACACTGCCTTCGCCTACTTTGTACCAGGTCCTACTCCTAGGCAGTAAGTTTCCCACGGACACTTCCCGTCTCCACATCCCACTCCCACCTGTCAGGCCTTCTGACTTCATGGCTGTGGCAGAATCGTGTATGGCTCCCCAAGGGCCAAAACTGTGCTCCGTCTTCACTCCCTCGTCAGTGCCGTCAGTGCCGGTGCTCTTCAGCTTTGTTTGGAGGGTTCGTGCCTGAAGCTGTTTGAAGGCCTCGTGAAATGCCATTTCCATTCGAATGTCATTATTCTGAATTTCATAGAACAACCCTGAGGAAATAAAGAAGCTGAGATAGAGGGCTCAGCTCCCACCAGTGTGGGTGAGAGTGGGCACCTTTCATTTCTCTTTGCTGTTTTCCTAGAGTTTAAAACCACATCTGGCTGTGCGCGCCTTTAATCCCAGCAATTGGAAGGCAGATGGAACGCTCAGAGTCTGTGGCCAGCCTGGTATATCCAGGGCTACACAAAGAAACCTTGTCCCAATCTCCTTATTCCCCTCCCCTAAAAAACATCCTACATCTTCATCACTAAAAAGGAGAAAGAATCTGGTGATGGAGGAAAGCCCATATGCGCCTACCGAGTAAAGTCCAGGCGATAACACTGCTGGGCTCCAAGCACGTAGCATCCTCAAAGAAGATTTCTGCTTGCTCATAGTTCTCCAACAAGACAGCCAGGACACCACACAGCAACAAGCTGGGAAGAGACCCGCTAGCACAGTTAGCAGTCTGGTCCTAGGTCATGTTGTAGTTTATCTGCTCCTACTCATTGTTCTCCATTTCCCTTCTACCTGTGAATATGACTCTCGTTCAGGGAAAGGGCTTTCCGGAAACACTCCTGTGCTTTCGTGATGTCTTCAGTGAGAAGGCAAAAGGCACCATAATCCAGCCAGTGATCCAGGTTCTGGGGCTCACGGACCAACCTCTAGGCACACAAAGTATCAGGAGAAACAGGGTTATTGCGACGCTATGCCCCACTTTTTGTGTATACTACAAAGTAAATGCCCCATAAATACCATGCATTATGAAAGTCAAAACCATCACTTTTCTTTTGCTTACACAGGACCCAGAGGACCAGCTAGAAGTGCTGTTCTAGCTTTGACATGACCTAAAGATGGAATCCTCGAGAGATTTATTCCTGAACTCAATCAGTGCCTCAGGAACTAAGGACTTACGTGACTAGCTAATAATACTGCCATGATCTTGAGATGGAAAATATATACAATTATCTATGAATGCAAGAAAAAGGATACCTCGTGTAAACGAAAACTATAAACATGGTTCAAAGAAATGAAAGAAAACTTGAATAAATGGGAGGACGCCCTGAGTTCAGGTCAGCACGGGGAGAGTTGAGGTTAAGATGCCAATGCTGCTAAGAGCAACCTACAGATGAAGGCCAGCCCTGTCAAATCCAATGGAAACCTTCAAAAGTTAAACACAGAATCACTGTGTAGTCAGCAATTCCACTCTTAAGTATACCCAAAATAATTAAAACAGACACTAACTACTTTTATAAAAATGGTGCATTTTGAGTCTTTGTTTGTTTTTTAGAGACAGGGTCTTACTATATAGCTCTTACTGTTCTGGAACTCACTATGTAGATGAAGCAGACCTTGAACTCACAGAGATCCACCTGCCTCTGCCTCCCAAGTCCTGGGATTAAAGAAGCGCCACAATGCCTGGCTGCATTTGGAGTCTTTTTTTTTGTTTTTGTTTTTCGAGATAGGGTTTCTCTGTGGCTTTGGAGCCTGTGCTGGAACTAGCTCTCTTGTAGACCAGGCTGGCCTTGAACTCACAGAGATCCTCCTGCCTCTGCCTCTCGAGTGTTAGGAGTAATAAAGGCATGTGCCACCATCGCTCGGCTTGCATTTGGAGTCTTAAATTATGGATAAAAGTTGTTTGGAAAATATATGTTCTATTTCTCCTAATCTGTACTTTTGTAGCCCTGGCTAGCTTGGAACTTGTGATATAGCCCGAGCTGATTTCCAATGGATAGCAGTCCTCCTGCTCTGCCTTCTGGTGCTGACTTTCTGTCCTTGGGTCTTCTGCCAAGGACCCTATAAGACCTGGTCAAGGAGATTTACTTCTATGTTTCTTTTGAACGATCCATGTTTTACATTTAGATTATTTATCCATTTATCATTGATTTTTTTTTTGTTTTTTGTTTTTTCGAGACAGGGTTTCTCTGTGGCTTTGTAGCCTGTCCTGGAACTAGCTCTTGTAGACCAGGCTGGTCTCGAACTCACAGAGATCCGCCTGCCTCTGCCTCCCGAGTGCTGGGATTAAAGGTGTGCGCCACCACCGCCCAGCTATCATTGATTTTTGTAAAATGTTTAAAGTCAGATCAAGGTTCATTCGTTTTGCATGTGGATTGCCAACTGTTCTCATTTGTTGAAACAACTCATTTCTACATTGAATTTATTGTACAGTTTCATCAAAAATCAAATGACCTGGCTGCTGGGGAGATGGTGCTCATCACGCAATATGAGGACTGGATTTCAGATCCTAGCACTCAACTAGAAGCCAGATAAGTATGATAGCCTGTCTGTAATCTCAGGATGACAGACAGAGACATAGGAGGTTGAAACAGGAAGATCTCATAGGTCAGCCTGAGATATACAGAGAGACCTTGTCTCAAAGCGCCGAAGCCTGGACTGTGGATACAGCTCATCTGGTACAGTACTTGCCTAGGATGCTCATGGCTTGTGTTGGATCTCAGTACCACATGAACCGTGAGTGCTGTAGGTACTGCTGTGATCCTAATACTGGGGAGGTAGAGGCAGGAAGAAGAGAAGTTCAAGTTGTCCTTGGCTATATATAGTGAGTTCAATTAAGGTCAGCCTTGAATAAATGAGACCAAACCAAACCAAAATACCAAATGATCTTATTCATATGGTCATATTTTTGGTCTCCCTCTCTGTTTACTGATCTGTGTCTATCCTTTCACTGGACAAGTTTGATGTTAATAGCAAACTACCGTTTTACATAGATTCACAAATAATAACAATAATCATCACTGAGATATTTAGCTACCTCTTCATAATATACTGCTGCCATTTCAAAATTCTCATTGACTTCTGCCTCAAATGCGAAGAGTCGAAGCTGTTCACTGCTGGTATGAATCGTTGAGGCAGTGCCTTGCATGTCGTCTGGCATGGACTTGTCATTGAGATGGTAAACAAAGAGAATGAAACAATTATACGTGAACAATTATGAGAATGAACTGGATGTGAGATCCAACCATCACATTAAATGAGACTGTAGTGTGTGTGTGCACATGCATGTGCAATCACGTAGGAACAGAGGAGTATACTTGTCTTGAATGCACTCTGTAGACCTGCAAATCTTTAACTTTCAATCCTCCTGTCTCACCTACTGCGTAACTGGCATTTCATGCTCACAGCTATTAGGCCAAGTCCCATCATCACTTCAGTAAGGAGCTATTTCAGAGAAGTAATAGAAAGGCTAGGCTAAGCACAGCGGGCACTTGAGAGGGGGCAGAAAGATCAGTTCAAGGCCATCCTTGGCTACATAGCAAGTTCAGGGTTAACCTAGATTACGTGAAACATTGTCTGTGTCTGTGCAGGACTGTCCTTTCAGTCCTATAGCACCTGTGTCTGTGTCTGTGTCTGTG